GAAAAGCCTATAGTGAATGTGTCTCTCAGAGTTTTGTTTACTCTGCCAGTGCATAGCGGCCAATGATAAAATGGCATGTTTTGTAGAATCTGAGACAAGGGTTTGTGTGAAGGAAGGTCCATCACATTGGAGGATGATTGCAGAGAACAGGAGTAGGGGCTAGAAGAGTGAAACAGGAGGGGAGGAAAAGCTGTATCTTTGTGTTGGCTGCAACGTGGCTAGTGTGGCTTGGTCAAGCCTGGACTTTCTGTGGTTTCATGCTGATCACTCCCCAGAGCTGTGCACCTGACTGCAGAGAAAAATAAAAGGGAACAATTGTCCCCAGGTTCCCATTGCCCCTGGCCAAGGGTTGATCTGTAGGGTGTTAACTTTCTCAAGCTTCCAGGTGGTGCAGGTGGGAGTACCAGGATGATCCCTGAGAAGGGCAGTGTAATCAGAGAGACTTCAGGGCAGAAGGTGGCTGACAGATGTGGGTACAGTGAAGAGTTTTTCTACTGCTCCCTTTACTTTCCTTTGTATTTAGAATAATTCATAACATATATGATAGTTTATTCTTTCAAAGAAGAAGGGAAACAGAGAAGAGGGAAAGAAACTCAAATGACAATTCCATCGCAATGGCAGAGACACAGCTTATAATACAGGAAACTAAGTACAAGTCTGGTAGCATAGTGGCTAAGGCACTTGACTGCTAACCAGAAGGCTGGCGGTTCAAACCCACCAGCCACTCCTCGGAAGGAAGGTTGGGCATTCCTACTTCCGTAGTGATACTGCTTCGGAAACCCAAGGAGGGGTCGCTATGAGTCGGGGCCGACTCGATGGCAAATAACAAGAACAACAAGTACAAGTCAGAGTGCCCAGGTCCACAAAAAGGAAAAGGTGTTCAAGAAAGAATTAGCAATTAAAGTAGACTTGTAATAGTTGATACCAGGAGCTCTCCAATGCTAAGTGAAAAGCAAAAAATTTAATAGTTATGTTATTATATAAATAACTTTGTTAAAGGCAGAATTTTATTGAGGAGGTCCCCCTCCTTAAATTCATCCTCTAATTAGGATATATTTTTTTAAAAAATAAAGTAACATTTATTAATATTTGTTTTATAAATAAACTAGAATCTTTCCTTATTTTATGAAAAGTGCTAGTGGCCATATTCACTGACATTCATTCAAGTTAATTTATATACATACACATAGTCCCTTGGGTTGTGATGATGGTTAGTGTGCTTGTCTGCTAACTGAAAGGTTGGCTGTTCAGTCCAGCCAGCAGTGCTTCAGGGGGAAAAAAAAATGTCTGGTGATCTACTTTTAAAAAAATCAGCAATAGAAAACCCCCTGACACACATGGGGTCACTGTGACTTGAAGTGATGTAGCAAATTAGATAAAATATTGCTATTATTATTTTTTCCTCTCAGTTATATAAATCTGAATCAAAACTAAAATCTTAGATTCCCGCTCCAATCAGCCATGATAGATCACTTTAAATTTTAAATCCGAATTAAATATTTAAAGTTTTGAGTAAGTATGAGCTCATTAGACTTGCTCTAAAACCTGAAATACATTTAGTGAGAGGCAAATGACAATAATATCTTGCATAGATTTAAATACTGTGCTCTGATAACCAGTGGAATTGAGAATTCTTCTAAATAAATTAAGAAATTATCTTAAGAATTAAGGTAATATCATTTGGTACTCTTTATTGAGAGCTTACGTGGAAGGATACTCAGCCTACAGACACCTAACAGTCTTTAGCCCCCCACTTCCTTCAACAGTGTCTTTGCAGACCCTGTGCCTAGCTACATGGACAAATCTTTAGGACACACACAAAAAAGTCACATTATAAATACTTGTGGAACTGTATCAGCTTTTACAGTTATGGTTAATCCTTTACTTTGGTCAAATATTTTCAAAAAGTAAAGCACTATAGGTTTGTGTATTATTTTGATTGATTTGTTTCTCTTTAAAAGATTCTTGGCAATAATATACTATCAGTATCACATTTAAAATTATTGTACTTTTTGTAATAGTTTATTCTATATTTTCCAGAATCTTTGTGGTTATTTTTATAATAGTATTTTCTGTAAGCATTATTTTTTCTTTAAAACCAGAAAGAAAACAAACAAAAAAACCCCAAAAAAACCACCCTTAAGGTGTTGACTAAAACATTTCAATCATTTAACATCTGTGTTTTAAGTCTTTAGGTCATATTCTTCCTTTGTATTCCTTAGAACAGCAGTGTGGTAGAATGTTACTTAAATGAAACTACTTAATAATGTTAGTGAAGGTACGATGGTGATGATGATGATGATAGAGTCAAGGCACACAGAGCAGAAAAGCATTAATCCCATCATCTGTACTACCAGTTGTTATTTTTTGTTGTTGTTGTCATAGTCATCTATGTCTCAGAATTCACTTAGTGTACTATGACATTCTACTAAATAATCAGGTCAGGAAGCTGTAACTACTTGACCATTCAAAAGTATTTGTATTTTAAATGATACCAGTGAGTATTTTACCTCAATACTTTAACAGAAGCAGCATCATGGCCATGTTTTCATCAGAGAAAATAATATCTTTGAGTTTTGAACATCACAACCTGGGGACAATTCCACTGATATCCTCAACTAAATACACATACTTTCTTCAACCTGCCCCACAATACTTTTTCTATCATTTTCATGTGTCACTGAACTGTTTTTCTGTGTCACAATCACATTCCCAGAACATCATCTGACCTTGTAATTAACCATCTGAACTGCCACAGGTGTGTGTTTGGGGTGACCTTTCAAACAGTGTGGCATTTGTTAGAACTTTCTGTACAGAGATGTGAAACACAGTGTCATGTCCTCAGTAAGATGTAATGTCACCATCCTTTGCCAACTCAGCAAGTGGTCAGAGGTAAGGCCTTTAAAATAAATTTAACCAACCAGTCATCTTTAAAACACTGAGATGGGACCAATCTGTTTGTTTCACAGCCAGTTTCTGCTATATGGGCCCTCTCTGTATAAAAGAGCAAAAACAAAGAGGGGAGGATGAGGAAGGGAGATACCAAGGAGAAGTAGTAAAAGGGAATAAAGCATTTTGTTTCAGACGACAGGCTTTCTAAATGTTTTGGTAATTTCTCTTGAGAGATTTTTATTTTTTCCTTCAGCATTCTAGCCACAAATCTGGAAATAATGAATTATTCCTATGTTATTACTACTAATTAAATTCATTCTGCCAATCTAAGAGCTGAATTTCACTCAAATCATGATTTGCCACCCTTGTAAGCATAAAATTATATTGGTTAGGAAAGATTCAGTGGTACTGAACTAACAAACTATCTGTCCTTTGGGAAATCCTTTACATTCTCAGTGCCTCAGTTTCCTCGTTGAGCATAAGTAATCTCCAGGGTCCCTTCTAACTCTACCTGCTTATGGCTCTGTGGATTTTCTTAGGCAAAATGGGAAACATATTTTCCCTGCACATGGCAGGTCTTCAGTTATGCTTTCTATTATTGTAACAGCAGAATAATCCTTGGTTTTTGTCTTTGATATGAATCTTTGTATTGGATTTCATAAAGTAAATATTTTTTAAAATGAATTTTTCCATTGATTCTCTTCCTGCATTTTTCCTTCTGTTGTTAGCCTTTCTCTCAATAGATGGTGCTCTTTTCTCAGAGACACTGCTTACTGTATCAAAGGATCAAGGAAGTTAGTTTCACCCTTTAACAATCATTAATTAAAGAAATCAAACATACAAGCAGAAATAATAAGTTATAAGCAATTTGCAACACCGTGGTAAAGGAAGCATTTGGGGAGAATGCTTGTGAAAAGATTAAGGAAGTTCATTGAAACATGCAAGACTTGCTGAATAAGTGAAGCAAATATTATAACTAAATATGAAAATGCCATGTTCACTACAGACATATTACCCCTAGTAGGGAGAAAACCTCAAATCAGGAGCCATTTTAAAGTGCTAAGATATTTACCTTAAAAGAAGTGAATATGTAGTAGTAATTCTTTAGCTGTATTATTTTCATTATTTGGGTTTAGGATTTGAACACACACACCAGTACCCACACAATGTACATCAATATCGTTAATATGAAGAGCTGGCACACTTTGTCAAACAAACCTGGAGAGTCTGGGCAAACAGAAAGTGGACCATGGACTCTTGAAATAATTCACTGGATAAAGACACTTTTTTTCAGAGTACCCATCACAATTTCCTATATAATTCTTTATATTAATTCAGATTTTTGTCACTTCTAATAAGTTCCAAATTTTAGAGGTATCGAGACACAGTGGTCATGCCCTGCACATCTCCTGGACCACCCTCTCTATTCCAGATTCCAGTGAACAGTCCCCTGGCATATCTGCAGTAGCACTAACCGCAAACTGGTCTAGGCAACACGCTGTCATGTTTGTTACAACAAAGCACCACATGGAGTAAAACCAGGAAACAATTCCTCCGCCAAGTTGGACATCAGAATGCAAAGAAGAGTAAGGTAAAGGCAACTATGAAGGGAGAATAGAAGATGCAGGAGGGTGGTACAGCAAAACACTCTTGAGTGAGGAGAAGAATAGTTGCCAAGGTTCATCTCCTAAGGGAACAGAGATTGAGGGACCGCCAATTAAGGTAAATAAACTAGAACCCTCTTCTATTATTCTGCAATTACTGGTGCCTCAGCTCCTGCAAGGACGCTGTAGGACCCTATGCTCAAAACCTCTTGGCTCAGTGTGAGGAGGAGTTGTAAGACAGAGCATTTTTGTCAAAGCATTATGGCTTTATACCAAAGCAACTTCTTTATTCCTGAATTTTTGGATTCTTTACAATGGAGGGAAAAATAAAAAAGTATGTTTTCTTCCCCAGACAACAGCCACTCTATTCACAGTCATTCCCAGTCTCCCTTGTTTACCTCCTCTCTCTCCACCTCTCAGCAAACACTCTGCCTTGGGGCTTAGGTACCCTCCTCGCCCTATTAGCCCCTGAAGACTCCGTTGGAGCCCTGCTGCCTTCCTTACCTGACAATAACATACATGACCAGGAAGTTTCCGAAGAGACCCACCACGCACACGATGGAGTAGAGGGCCATGATGGTGATGGCCGTGATCATGGAGGGACTCCCGGTCGGAGGGCACAGGCTGTCGCTCCCTCCCAGCTCGGTGCGGTTCGGACCGCAGGGGTCGGACAGGTTGCCATCTAAGTGGGACAAGTTGACCCAGGACCTGAGGCTAGGTGCTGGGGAGCAACTTGCAGAGCGTGCAAAGGGATCAGTGCAATTGCTGGCGTTGGTGGGGACGGAGCCGCTGTCCATGGTGCTGATCGCCGGCGGGGGCCCACGTTGAGAGGTGGCCTCAGCACTGGGACTTTCCAGGTCGCACGCGCTTTGGCAGAGTCCTCCCGTCGCTGCCACAGCTTCTGCGGTTTCTCGCAGAGAGCAGCCCAGATGGAACCAGGGGAGCGTCAGGCAGAAGGGGAGAGCCGAGCGTCTGACCTGATCTGCTTGGAGCCCCTTCCCACCTTAGTAGTAGACCGAGACCTAAGCTCAACCCTACACCACTGGGGGAGGGGAGGGAGCGCTAAGAGGGATCCAGGCTGGAGGGGAGGGAGGAGAGCGAAGGGGTGGATTTTGCGCAAACCATCAGTAGGTCTCCTCACTTGGCACTCCTCTATGCAAAAGCGCCTAAGGAGGGGCGGGGGTTGGGAGGGGTAGAAGGAAGGGACAAGGAGGGAGACAGGCTGAGAGTCTTTGGCAACCTTAAAGCAAGAGGCTGACATCATTCCATTTTCCAGCGCCGTTTTCTTTTTAGAAGGGGCCTTATGGCGCAGTGGTTAAAGCGGCCGGTTGCCAACCAAAAGGTCAGCTGTTCGAACCCATCAGCCTCTTTGCAGAAGAAAGGTGTGGCAGTCTTGCCCCGTAAAGATTATAGCCTTGGAAACCCTAGAGGACAGTTCAACGCTGTCCTATGAGATTCTTAGGAGTCAGAAACAATTGCACAGCATGGGCTCTTTTTGTTGTTTAGTTTTCCCTTTATCATCTGAGGGGAAACACAATGTCCAGACGCACCCCTTAGGGCACTCCTGACGTTTTTCCCTCCCTATTGCCTACAGACATTACAAATAATTGCCCAGACCCTCTTCTGTAGCCCTCCTCGCCTCATCGCCTCACATCTGCGAAAGGTAATCACATCTTTCGTATCAGTAAACTAGTATTTCCAACAAACCAAAGCAATCTGAAACGAGGGATTGAGAAGCAAACTTTCCTGGAAGAAACCTGTTATTTTACTCCTATCCCCCAATTTCTCCCAGAGCAGAAGCTCTCTTTGCTTCTAATTTCTGTCCTGGTAGGGAAAATAACGGGTGACAGTAATCAGGGGGTTGTGGCATTCAGTAAAGTCAATGAAAACTAATATTGATCTTCCACATCTTCAGTCTCCTAGGTAATTTTGTAATTATTTAATTCTCCTTTTGGTTTCTGCAGACTTCTTACATGGACATGTGCTTTTGAGAAGAGCACCGTCAAAACCAAATAAAATTTAGATTATTTCTTTCTGTTTTTTAGCATAGAAATTGTATTAGGACCCACACAGAAGTCTGCAACTGGAGTGGCCTCCAAGCAAGGTTCCTGAGGAATGTGAATACATTTAAATTTTTTAAAAAATGCATTTTATTGAAATACAATTTATGTACAGTGAAATACACAAAACTAAAGTGACATGAGTCAGTGCTTTTAGTGCTTTTTTTTTTTTTTTTTTTTTTTTTTCAAGGTTTTTCCCCCCCCCCCCCCCCCCCCCGGCAAAAAAAAAAAAAAGAAAGTTTCCCTCCATATATAAACTTTTCCTTGATCTTCCACAACAATGAACTAATACTACATTTGTCCTTCTGTGATTGACTTATGTCACTCAGCATAATGTCCTCCAAGTTCATCCTTATTTTGTAGTGTTTTGGAGAATCTACATTATTCTTTATTGCTGCATAAGCATTCCATTATGTGTATGTACCATAGTTTGGTCATCCACTCTTTCGCTATAAATTTTAGAGATAAGTCCCTTGCCAGATATGTAATTATCAGCAAATATGAATTTGTTGCTGTCATTTTTGTTATGTGCTTTTTCGTGGTGTCGATTTCTTTGTTCCATATAATTTTCTATGCTGAGCTCATTTTGTTTATGAATCATGTTATCACTTCATTCATTACTATTGTTTTAGCATTTATTGAATATTTATACTTGTCCTCTTTTTGGATGTGAAGGTTTATCATTTTTCTTTGAGGTCACCTGTGATTTATAGTTTTCTTCCCAAGTTTAGAACAGTCTGTTCTATCTTGTAATTGTCTTGACTTCCCTACCATCTGGAAGTTCTGAAACGATACAGTTTTTTCCCTCTTTTTGGTTTGTTGTTGCTGTTGTTGTTATGTGCTATCGTTTCTCCTCATTTGTCAATTGGTGTCTCTGGTTCCCTGTTTACAATCTTGTAGGCTTATTTACTTCTGATACTTCCATAGCTGGGTTGGTTTCTGGGTTATGTCATCATGTGTGTTAATGGTCAGTTGTTTGCTGTTGTTGCTTCTCTGTCCAAAGGGCTCGCTTTAGCATCTCTTGTAAGGTTGATCTGGTTTTAACAAATTGCCTTAATTTTTGCTTATCTGAAAATGTCCTAATTTCACCATCATATATGAGGGACAATTTTGCTGGATACTTAATTCTTGGTTGGAAATTTTTCTCTTTCTGTGTTTTACACATACCATCCCATTGTCTTCTCGCCTGCATGGTTTCTCTTGAGAAATCCAAGCTTAGTCTTACTGGTTGCCCCTTGTAGGTAACTTTCATTTTCCCTGTGGTACTCTCATGATTCTTTCTTTGTCTTTGATTTTGGTAGGTTTGATAATGATATGTCTGGGTGATTTTCTTTTGGGGTCTATCTTGTTTGGGGCTCATTGGAATTCCTGAATGAATATATTCTCATCTTTCATCATACCAGGAAAATTTTCTTCCAGCAAATCTTCAACAATTTTCTCTGTGGTTTTATTTGTCTCTTCCTGTTCTGGAATTCCGTTTACATGTAGGTTATTCCTTTTGATGGTATCCCACATGAACCTTAGGCTTTCTTCATTTTGTTTTGATCTTTTTTTTTTTTTTTTTCTGATTGATCCCTTTCCAAAGAAGTGTTCAGGTATTTTCCTTCAATCTCCCTAATTCTGTCTTCCATTGATTCAATTCTGCTCCTTTGCCCATTCCATGTCTTATCTATTTCTGAAAATTTAGTATTAATCTGGATTTCTATCTGTAGATTTTGTATCATTTCTAGTTTTTCATTTATTTTGTCATTTTATTCCTGTATTGTCTTTCAAAATTGTTCTAGAGTTTTCTCTGTGTTTTCCTTGATCCGTCTCTCAATTCGTTGAAGGTATCTAAATATAATTCTTCTGAACTCCTTATCAGGGAGTTCCAATGTTGCCTCTTCCTCAGGGATGTGTTTTGGGTCTGTATCCTGGTCCCTTGTTTCTCCTGCTTTTTCTAGCTTCTTTGGGTGGACTGTGGTGCTCTGTTGTCTCTGAGGTATTGTGATGTTTTTGTGTTTATATTTAATTAGAGATTGTGTATTGGAGTGACTTGCCCATGATTTTTGTTTTCTTTGTATGTTATCTGTGCAAGCAGCATACTGTGCTGTGAGCCTCTATTCACTAGTTGACAGCACTTATACACTCACCACCTGTCTTCTTTCCTGTTGTCAGCCTTTCCCTGCCAACCTTGGCAAACAGAGCCTATTCTTAGGTCCCTGGAATCCAAATGAGAATGCTATCACTTTAAAATCCAAAATGGTTGCCACTTGTAAAGACTCCAAATGGCTGCACCCTCGGTCACTGTAAATATCCAAAATGACTGCCACCTGTAAACATTCAAAATGGCTACACCCTTGGTCACTTTAAATTTCCAAAATGACTGCTGCATGTAAACAGTCAAAATGGCTGTGTCCTATGGACAGCAGAAAGTCAACAGCTCAGGTTGTCTCCCTCCTTGCTGTTTCCCTTCCTAGTCATAGGCCACCAGCACAGTCGTCCCTGCACCCTTTGGTGACCAGGGCTGATCTTCAGATCAATTCTCAGGTTCCAACACCACTTGGAAATATTCAGGCTGTTGGTCTTGTAAGAGTAGCTGACAATCTGCAGCTCTGACCATGTCTGTATTCACCGTTTTTATTCAGGTTTTTCCACTAGTTGGTGCCTAATCCACTTCTGTATAGTTCTTTTCAAAGCTCAGGGCTCCAGGATTATCTTCTGTATCTCTGTCTGTTGGTTTTTCTTTTCATTGTTGAAGAGGGTCTGTGTCGCTTGTCTGTCCATCTTACCAGAAGTCCTAAATTTAAAATTTTATACCTACTTTTAAGCCCACAAACATTTCTATTTGAACAACAAATGTTTAAGTCAAACCAGGAGTCATTTTTCTGCTCATTTTTGCCTTTGTTTTCGATAAAGTTAACACTAAATATGTAATAATCCCTACTTCTGCACATATGTGTATTGTGTATGTATAGATCTTTTAATGATAAAAGTTAGAAATAAATATCCTCAATCAGTTATAGAAATTTAACTGCAAGCCCGGGTAGCATAGTGCCTAAGGCACTTGACTGCTAACCAGAAGAATGGTGGTTCAAACCCACCAGCCACTCTTGGAAGGAAGGTTGGGCCATCGACTTCCATAGTGATAATGCTTTGGAAACCCAAGGAGGGGTTGCTATGAATCAGGTCTGACTGGAGGGCACATTACAACAACCACAACTTTGGGAGCATGGAAAAGGGAAAGGTTAGGAGGAACATTTAATTCCAATATTATTTTTAGGCATTTGTCTTGAAAACAGATATAGGTAAACTATACTATCATAGGTTATTTTGGCAATGCTCAGTAGATTTTTATCCTTTTGCATTAAAGGGTATAATTTCAGCACTAAAATGTTACAACATCTCCTAGAGACTAATAAACAAACAAACAAACTCACTGCCATCCAGTTGATTCTGACTCATGGGGACCCCCTTTGAGTTTCTGAGGCAATAAATCTTTAGGGAAGTAGATTGTCCAGTCTTTCTTCCACAGAATGGCTGGTGAGTTTGAACTGCCAACCTTCTGGTTAGCAGTCAAAATGTTTTAGGCAGTATGCCACCAGAGCACGCTCTCTCTCTCTCTCTCTAATACAGATAGATAGATATCCAACTGAAATCTATCTGGCATTCATTCAGTTCCATGGGGATGCAAAGACCCAGTCTTAGCATACTTACCATGAAAGACAAGGGGTATCTTGAAATCAGTCCTAGTCTTGGAGGCAGATCATTTTGGGAATCTTGTACTTGTCACTTAGCTATGAGAGTATAGATAAGTTACTTCACTGAGTGACAATTTTCTGTTCATTTAAAAAGAGGAGGGGGAAATAATAATGCTCACCTCATATAGCTGCTGCTGTTGTTGTTGTATGCCATCGAGTCAGCCCCGACTCATAGCGACCCCTCCTTGGGTTTCCGAGGCAGTAGCACTATGGAAGTAGGATTGCCCAACCTTCCTTCCGAGGAGTGGCTGGTGGGTTTGAACCAGCAGCCTTCTGGTTAGCAGTCAAGTGCCTTAGGCACTATGCTACCAGAGCTCCTCATATAGCTGCTAGCAGGATTAAATTAGATACACAATGCAATGTTGTTGTTGTTGTT